ATTTACAAAATTTATGTAAAGTTACGGACAAACTGGTAGAAATGTTTAAGAAATTTACGCAAGCTTGCGAATAAACTGGGTAGAGACATTTACAAAATTTATGTAAAGTTACGGACAAACTGGGTAGAGATGTTTATGAAATTTACGTAAGGTTACAGACAAACTGGGTAGAGACGTTTACGGAATTTACTTAAAGTTACGGACAAACTGGGTAGAGATGTTTATGAAATTTACGTAAGGTTACAGACAAACTGGGTAGAGACGTTTACGGAATTTACTTAAAGTTACGGACAAACTGGGTAGAGATGTTTATGAAATTTACGTAAGGTTACAGATAAACTGGGTAGAGACGTTTACGGAATTTACTTAAAGTTACGGACAAACTGGGTAGAGACGTTTACGAAATTTACATAAAGTTATGGACCAACTGGGTAGAGACGTTTACGAAATTTACGTAAAGTTTCGGACAAACTGGGTAGAGACGTTCACAAAATTTATGTAAGGTTACAGACAAACTGGGTAGAGACGTTTACGGAATTTACGTAAAGTTACAGACAAACTGGGTAGAGACATTTACGAAATTTACGTAAAGTTTCGGACAAACTGGGTAGAGACGTTCACAAAATTTATGTAAGGTTACAGACAAACTGGGTAGAGACGTTTACGGAATTTACATAAAGTTACGGACAAACTGGGTAGAGACGTTTACGAAATTTACGCAAAGTTACGGACAAACTGGGTAGAGACGTTCACAAAATTTACGTAAAGTTACGGACAAACTGGGTAGAGACGTTTTAAGAAATTTACGCAAACTTGCGAATAAAATGGGTAGAGACATTTACAAAATTTACGTAAGTTTACGGACAAACTGGGTAGAGATGTTTACGGAATTTACATAAAGTTACGGACAAACTGGGTAGAGATGTTTACGAAATTTACGTAAGTTTACGGACAAAGCATTTCTCAGCCCAGTTTACTCTCTACATCTTCCTCTGGCTTCATAAATTAAATGTGATCAGTCCCACTTATAAAATTTATGAAGAGTTAAAAAACAAACTTGGTGGACCCAAAGATTGGCATAGTGCCCTGAAGGCGTCACCGGCTGATGGAAGGTGAGTCACGACTCCCCTCTAGATAAACACCTGGTGACCACTCAGGTCCAATCTGTAAAACAATCAGACACTAAACTGAAGACAAACTCCTCAAACAGGATTCTGATAAAACACTTTTACAACAAAACAAACAAAAAAAGTTTTGAATCAGCTGAAAGAGTGGACCGATACGTCCAGTCTGCTTCCTGTTTGGGGTCACTTCAGTCCAGGAAGTGGTCCTCCCAGGTTTGAACAGACTAACTTGTTTTAAGGTTTTACTTCCTGCTTTAATAATTTTACTTTAGTTTTCTGTAAACCGTTTGTCCCTCTGAACATTTCAAACGTTGGTGTTCAGGTAAAACTACGTTTTTGTTGGTTTAATTCTTACAAAGAAAGAAAGCTCCGGTGTTTCTCGTCTTTTCGCTGCAGTCGGAGTAAACCTCTGAGCGAGTGGAGAACAGGTGATTGAGCCGTCGCTTTGCTTTAATGGGAACGTTTAGCGTGGAATAAATTTGGACCCCGGGGTTATTTAGTTCAAACAGAAACCAGGGGTGAGGAGTTGGGCTGAATTAATTTAGCCTGTCAGTTTTTTCCTCTTTTCTTTTAGCTTGATTAATGCGTTTGCTTTATGCTTGAACATAATTGAGTGTTTTGGTAGATGTCAGCCTGAAACACAAAATCTAAATGAAAAGCATTTTCACATCATTCAGCCGTGTAAAAAAAAAAAAAACGCTGAATATTTGTGTTTTATGCCTTCAGCCTCGTTTTCCTCATGAACTGAATCAAACAGTTTGAAGCTTCGTGTTTTATTTGAACTTTGAACCAAACGTGTCAAAGAAACTCGTAAACACCAAGTCGCCACCAAAGACTAAAAACCACACARCGTCTCCATCTGCGAAGCCAAAACGTTATTTTTACTGGTGCCACCATGTTGTTGTATTTTTGGAGGCGGAGTCTCTGTGCTCTCGTCGGATGCCCCGCCCCTTTTACCCTCCTGCTGCCCTGAGCTCAGAGCTGAGCTGCAGCTGTTTGAGGTGACAGAGTTCGAAGAGTTCACAAAGTTTACAGAAATCTGTCTTTCCAGAGACGTTCACGTGGTAACGAGCTCTAAATTGTGACAGATGATTTCAAAAGGTTGTGGGTTCGAGTCCCGTGTAGCGGCTGCGTGCTGAGAGGCTGCTGGTTCTGTGGCTCACAGCCCTGAAGGAACGAGTGATTTTATAAAATATCTTTGAGTCGTGAAGCTTCAGTTTACAGACTCGTGTTGTTCGGACCTAAAATCACATTTTGATACAAAGTTTTTGTTACTTTTCTGCATGTCGGCCATTTTTTATTTATTTTATCACAAACACACCTGCTGAGTGTTCTGCCTTTTCCTAACTGAAAAACTTTAATTAATCAAACATCATCTTCCAGTTCAGTTTGAACTCTGGATATGCAAACGTACGAAGCTGAATGTTTGAGAAAGTGTTGTTGTTGTTGTTGTTGTTTGGACACACCTGGCTGTAGAAGTAAACAAACAGCTGCTATAGGAACCTCTGTGAAGTGACCTCAGAAGCTTCCAGAACAATCGAGTTATTTTAATTTGAATATTTCCTTTGCTGCAGTTTGTTGTTGTTTATTTTTATTATTTTATCTGTTTCAGATGATGTAACTTAAAACAAGCAGGTTTGTCTTTTTGAATAAAGAGTCTGAAGGAAATCTGTTTCCAGTTTCTTTATTTTTGAATGTTTTAAACCATTAATGTGTCACCTTTTTCCAACATTTAATGTTTTATGTTTGTTTAGTAACTCCATCTTGTTTCAGTGAATAAAATAACCAGCAGCTGAAGTTGGACCAGTTTCTGCTGCACATGAGCTGCTGCTCTTTGTTTTTCACTTCATCTTTATAAATAATATATAGGTGTGTGTGTGTGTGTGTGTGT